TATATATGGTGGATGTGTGCACACATATGAGTACAGGTGCTCTTGAGAGTCCAGAAGAGGACATCAGATCCACTGGAGTTCCAGCGGTCATAAGCCATCCAACATATGTCGGAAACAGAACTTGTGAGCCACCTCTTTAACCCCTATAATAAGGTTTGTTTGGGTGGGGTGAGGTGTTTGTTTCTCGAGCAGTTTCAGTGTCACTATCCAAAGCTCTCCAATGAGTTTTGTTCTAGAAGCTGTGCAAAGCTTAGGAACTTTACCTTACCTGATATGGATATGATTACTCTGAAGCCCCCACACCAGCTCCTCTCAATACTAGAAGTCAAGGATTAAGGAATAATGGAATGGTAATAGAACTATTGTTTTTTTTTTTTTTTTAAATCTTTGTTGGTTCAGCACTGTCCAACACACATGGAAAGAACCAAGTGTGTTCCTTGCTCATAGAATTTCTCAGACTCATCAGTACTACTGTAAAGTATACCACATTTGACTGTTGGTGCACCTCAGGTTACCACTCTAAATTGTGGATCCTGAGAAAACAGTCCAGTAAGCTGTACATTACTCTTTCCTATTTTCTGATAGGGAAGCAGAGACCATAGAGGTAGCCTTTGCCTGTTACCATACAGAGATTGGCCAAGACACGGTTCACTCACTTCTAGTTTTCTCTCTCTCTGACAAGCACCCTTCCAGAGTGGAAAGAGGGGCACTAGTGCCTGGCACATGCTTGGGGCATGTGGGTAAAGGCAGAGCTAGTGTAAAGGAGAGTTGGTGGAAGAGCGATGGTCCTTATACCTTCGAAGACTGTCCTCAAGCTTCAGATGATGAGTTTTATACCTTAGAAGATTGTCCTCAAGCTTCAAAACAAATATTTTTTATATCCCATGGATCTGTGAGTTTCTCTTCAAAACTAAGCTCAAATTGAGCTAAACTTTAATTCTCATCGTCAATGGCTCCCTATTCCATACTCATAGAATTAAATTTTATTTTTATTTTATTTTTGAGTATGAGTGTATTCCCCACATGTATATAAGTGCAATGCCCACAGAGGTCAGAAGAAGGTGTCAGATCCTTTGGAACTGGAGTTACAGACGGTTGTTAGCTACCATGTGGGTACTGGGAAGTGAACCCAGGCCCTCTGTAAGAGCAGCCAGTGCTTTAACTGCTGAGCCAACTCTCCAGCCCCTTAAATTTTTTTTTAAGGGAATTCACAACTTCTATCCCTCAGAGGAAACCATGGGAACTTTTCTAATACTAGTGCAAAGACCCAAAGCAGAAATGAAAAATATGAATTTCATATAGTTGAGCAGTTCCAAGGTCGCTGTCTACAGTCATCCTAGCAAATGCCTCTGGCCTCCTCACCAAATTTATAGTAGCTATTGATGTTGCCCCTGCCCAAAATAGCTTTTATGAATGCCACAAGACAAAATGGTGGGAATATTTGTAAAGTAAATGTGACTGTGCTCCCAACATGCCCCTTTGTCTTGGCGGTGTTCTGCTCAATGTGAGGTGAAAGCAATGCCAAGTATAAACTGTGTCAGATCACGTCATTCTTCCCCATATTCGCTTATACACTGTCTCTCATAAGATTAGACTGATGTGGGGCCTAGAGAGATGGCTCAGCAGTTAAGAGCACTGGCTGCTTTTGCAGAGGACCCTGGTTTGGTTCCCCTGACCCACCTGGCAGCTAACAACTGTAACTCCAGTTTCAGGGGATCCAACACCCTCTTCTGGCCTTCAAGGACATTGTACTACATAGGTGCATTTATTTACATGCAAGCTAAACATTCATACACATAACATAAAAACAGATAAATCAAAAATTTTAAAAATGTGTATACACCGAACATGAACAGGCTTTTTCAAGCACACAAGACTGTGCATATGTTTTATACAAATACTGTGCCATGTCATATGAAATGGCAAACACATATAGATTTTTATATTCACTGAGAGTCCTGGAACCAGTTCCCTGAGGACACAAAAGACTGCAAATCAAAGGGAGCCAAAGGGAAAAGTCAAGGAAGACCCAAAGGTTTGTGACTCAAATTCCATAAGAACATCAGGGAGAAACTGAACTTGCAAAGAAAGAAACAGTAATGAAAATTAGTAAAAGCAA